AAAGAAAATGGAAAGTACAGGGATCATAGGGGTTATATAATCGTGTATGAACCCCTAAGCCGAAGGCAGCTACAAATCGGCTCTCGGAAGGATACGTGGCGACCTTGGATCTCGGAGCTCAAACAGCCAAGAGCTATAGCTTCCGTTTCGGCCCCTGGGGGGGGGTTAGGGTTAAGAGTAACCCTAGTAGTTTCCATTTGATTTTCCATTATCCCAATATTGCCCCAATATAATAGAGTAGTTTCCATTTTTTTCCATTATCCCTGCACAACCCCAGTATCCCTAAACCCTAAACCCTATATAAACACTTATATCACCCCAATATAAACCTACCATGAATGCTGGTTCATCTCAGGGGTTGAGACATGTAAATCAGGCGGAACCATACCAAGAAGCTTCACATGAGTAGAATTTTTATTTGGGGATACTATGGTGCCCAATATAGAGTAAGATGATATCCTTCTTTTGGGGTATAGGGAATATAATCTTACTGGGTTTAACCACCAAAAAAACGCTACTCACATGTTGGCATCCAACAACGCAGCGTTTAAGTTTATGGCTTTGCACTACACAGAAATCACCTCCCAGCAAGAGGGAGTGGGTTTTCAGACAAAGCCTGCTAATTGCCTTGTGTTCACGTATTGGGAAATCTGCATGTATCACGATGTGTAGGGCCTGAATGAACTTCGCTCTTGCTGCTAGCTTGGCCAGAGGCTTGCTGAAAGTAAGCTGCAAGAATTCACTCAGTAGCAATTTCCAATTTTTTCAGGCTTGACTTAAATCTTTCAAGGAGTTGGACACTTCCGGCGCCACTGACTACCGTTCACCCTTTTATTTTCCATTATCCCAATGTAACCCCAATATACTCTAGTAGTTTCCATTTTATTTTCCATCATCCTTTTTTCACCCCCAATATAGCCCTAATCGAGGAATATGCAGACACTCGGACATTGCAACCACCGGGCATTGGAAATGCAATCGGTTTCGTGCACTGAGGAGTTTCGTCTAGCGCAGATGGACGCAGATCGTGCAGCACTTGCTGAGCAGGCTGGCGGCTCACAGCATAGATAAAGGGGTAGGGGGTATATAGGGGATATGTTGGGGATATATTGGGATAATGGAAAAGGACATGGAAACTATAAGAAAGTGTTTCCATCACGAGTTTTGGTGAGTGTATGTAGGATTCTTTAGGCATATGGATAAGTGTATAAATTTGGTCTGGAGTCTGTGGGACCATAACAAATTCTTTCGCACAGGTGCGCCAGTTGGAGGCGGAGATTCAAAACCTCCATACAAATCATCTCCAGGCCGCATGCCAAGAGACATGTGGGTGGCTGTCAAAATTATGGTCCCTTTGGGTCCCTACTACAATACGGCACCTACTATTTAGGGTACCCACAAAGGGACCATAATTTTGACAACCACCCATGTGATGAGATGTGGTTTTCACTTTTTCAACATGATTGGCTTGAATCTCTATGGACGTTGAGAACCGGTGAAACAAATCGATGATCGTTTCTCTGGCTACTGTTGATCTGATTGATTGAGAGGGTGACCGTGCCTTCTGGCAGGACATCCAGGCTCACAGGAGCTGGCATTCTTCGGCCTTAGATGCCCTGCTTGAGACAGGAACTGGCAGGGCACCCAGGGCATTGACAGGCATCGGGGGAACTTGCCAAGTACGGACCCGAACGAAGACGTGATTTGTTATCACTATTGTCACTAGTGTTACTAGCATTATTATTGCTATTACTACTATTATTACTATTACTATTCTTATTATTACTATTATTAATATTATTACTATTACTACTATTATTATTCTTATTCTTATCATTATTATTATTTTTACTATTATAAATATTATTGCTACATGTGTCCATCTTGCAGCTCAGGCAGCGGTGAGCTTGCGCGTCTTGCAATTCGTGCCTGGCGTGAGCTTCTGCATGGCAAGGCGGTGTAGCAGTGTTTGGCACCATTCCCACAGGTACTCGCCATCTACCCATGTTGGAAATATTACTACTACTACTACTACTACTACTACTAATACTAATATTAATACTAATACTAATACTAATACTAATACTAATACTAATACTACCACCACACGACTACTACTACTATTATTGTATTTCGTATTAGTTTAGTCCTGTTATTACTATTATTCGTATTTGCAGGATCTCGTTTGTATACTTGTCAGCATGATGCATGGCAAGGAGGAGAGAGGCCGGCGCCGCCGCCTTGCTGGAAGCGTCGCCTCGCGGCACGTCCAGGCAGTCAAAGTGACAGTGTAACACGTGTCACTCCATTTGAGGTATAGTCTAAACTCCTTTAAAGGGGGTTTATATAGGGGAGTGTATAGGGGACTAGTATGGGCGTTATTAAGGGGGATGCTAGGAGTTTAGACTATAGTTCATGTGACATAAGCGAGACTTGACCAACGTTCTGACAGCTCTATGACAACATCTTCGTTGACGGCAAGTTGTTTTTGCCCTTTTTGGGTCCTTAAACATGAAGACCCTAACGCTTGTCAACTTCTCGACTACGGGAACATCTTGACAGCCAACTCTACGTTTCGAGTTTTGCGCACCGTGTGAGGAGATGGAACTTCAAGCCAAGCGCGTCCGGGCTGCAATCATCCAGGCTGCAGGTCAGTCACGCTAATTATAGTCTAAACTCCTAGTATCCCCCGTGATAAGCCCAGAATGCTGAATGCTCCCCTACATAATCCCCTATATAATCCCCTTCAAGGCGCTTAGACCCTAAACCCCAATCCCTAAACCCTAAACCCTTGCCTGTAATATAATCTCCTATATAACCCCCTTCAAGGGGCTTAGACCCTAAACCCTAATCCCTAAACCGTAAATCCTATAATATAATCTCCTATATAACCCCCTTTAAGGAGCTTAGACTATAGCTCATATGCCTAAGTATCCCTAATCCCTACTATACTGCAATAGCTTCCATTTTCTTTTCCATTATCCCAACATAATCCCCTAAACCCTATATTAGCCCTATATAGCCCTAAATACTATAGTTGTTTTCATTTCCCATATAAACCCTATATAACCCCTTAAGGAGCTTAGGTGGCATATTTGACCTTCCACTTCCAGGTGCCCTGTGGGCTGCCTGGCGGAGCCTGGAGCTCCGACGGGCCGAGCGCCGCAGAACTGCAGGTCTAGGGTTTGGGGTTTAGGTTATATTACCATTACCTAGGGTTCCGGGGCGTCATGTTGGTTTGTGAAATTTTTGAAAATTTGAGATTTTTAAATTCAGAAAACTTGGGTACCATAAGTAGCGGCAAGTTTATATGGGCTTGAGGGTTAGGGTTTAGGGTTTGGGGTAATAGGAATTATAGGTTTAGGGTTAAGGGTTTAGGGCAATAGAAATTCTAGGCTTAGGGTTAAAGGTTTAAGGTAATAGGAATTATAGGATTTAGGGTTTAGGGTTTAGGGTAATAGAAATTCTAGGTTTAGGGTTAAAGGTTTAAGGCGTAATAGGAATTATAGGTTTAGGGTTAAGGGTTTAGGGTAATAGTAATTATAGGATTTGGGGTTTAGGGTTTAGGGTTATAGCAATTCTAGGTTTAGGGCTTAGGGTTTAGGGTAATAGGAATTATAGGTTTAGGGTTAACGGTTTAGGGTAATAGTAATTCTAGGTTTAGAGTTTAGGGTTTAGGGTAATAGGAAGTTCAATACAGGCTTGGGTAAGTATCTGGGCAGGCGCCGTGGCCAAGACCTTGGAAAGGCTCTCGACCTTGGAGACCACGAGGCCACATCTGCATTATATATATATATAGTACATATAGAGTATGTAGTATATAAGGTGTATTTGGATATATGGTATATTATTATACACTAAGTATACTATGTATATACGTATATATATATATATTGGGCCATTATTTTCCATTGGAAATCTTCAGGGCTGGCCTGTTGCTGAATTCATTTGAGCTACCATGCGTTGTAAGGGTTCGCTTGGCAAGGCGTGCCGCCTTTGTTGCTTGGCGCCTGGCTGTCCACCCGCTTCGTGGATCGGCTCGCAAGGACCGTCGATTGATCAGCCTCGCAGAGATTGGAGATGCATACTTCTCCTTGCATAGGCTTTCTGGTGGATCTGGATTTGCTAGAACGCGTATCATCACTGCCATCCTGAAGCGCTCATTTTCAAGAAGCCATCCAAAAAACAAGTCAGACAAATTGTTGGGGTGGCTGCTGGCGTAGCGGAGCAATCCAGAAACGCATGTTGGCATCTTTCCGCAGCATCAGGCGTTGGTTTGTACTCGACTTGCCGCTGTGCAGCACCGCCAGCGGGCAGCCACACGAGAATTCAGAAGGACGGGCGTGAGTCAGTTGTGTTTGACAGACCATGTTGCCTGAATTTAACTCTGTTTTCGTCCAGGTTCTGACAGCATCATCCTGCACTGCTGTGTGTAGTAGGTCCCAGCATGCCTCTTCCCTGTGAGGAGCTGTTGGGACATCTGGGCTACGAATGCGCGTGAGGCAGCATTGCTTCTCGATGCGTGGGAACTGGATGCAGGTGTAAGTGGAGGTTGGAAGTGCTTGAGCACCCTCATCTTTTTGGATGTTGCATGTGCAGAAGACTTGACTCATGGGCTGGCTGCCATTGATGACGTGACAGGAGTCCAGAACGCGGCAAGCGGAAACTGTTGTCGCAGAGCTGCGTGTGCAGGACTGTGCTGGAACTTGAGCTTGGGGAAGATATATATATATTATACCCCATTATAATATAGTAGTTTCCATTTTCTTTTCCATTATCCCTATATAACCCCAAAGTATACCCCAATATACTTTTTGGGCTTGGTGCAAAGAATCTTCCTGCGAGCCAGGTTTCATCACAGGCGGAGGCTGCGCAGGCACCCTGATCAGGCTTTGTAGCTTTGCGTTTCATTGGCGCTGACTCCGGAAGGCATCGAGCGCAATGTGTAGATTGCATTCCCTGGCTTGCGTGACTGTGGTACTTGTAACACTCAATTCAGCAATTTTGCAAGCTGGCTGAACTTGCGAAACTGAGCCTGGCTTGGACTTGCTGCCTTGGCTGAAGAGGGTTTTCAGTCTCAGGGGAAGAAGATCCCAGCATATGAGCCATAGTCTAAACTCCTCGTCCTAGTATCCCCCTTAATAAGCCCTATAGTAGTCCCCTATATAATCTCCTATATAGGCCCCCTTTAAGGAGTTTAGACTATAGCTCATATCTCAAGATACGGTGGAGGCTGACCACACCCTTGCGGAGCAGCGGCTTCAACAGGTAGAGCTGCACTACCAGGAGCGCTGGCTTCGCAAGACCTAAAACCAACTAATTAAAAGCAATGACTGGGATTGGGGAAACAATTTTCATTACTATATATTGCTATATATACCCGTTATGGTAACTTAAACTAATTACTGTACATTGCTATATATACCCATTATGGTAACTTAAGTTAAGTTCCTTAATTCCTTAACGGCAACCCGCGTGACTGTTTGGGTCCACCGTGCCCACCCAGCTCGAGCGAGCTGCAGACCCCAAACATTGTTCGGTACTTCTAGGCGCACACACGCGCACCAAAGTGAAATGTAGGATAATGGAAAAGAGAATGGAAATTACTACATCATAATAGGGTATATGTAGGGGGTTATATAGGGATAATGGAAAAGAAAATGGAAACTACTACTACAAAAAGCCAATATAGCATCCAACAGGACTCTTTGTAGGGTGGGCCAGCAGGTCAGGTGGAGGCAGCACATGAAACCAAGTTCTGCAGAGGGAGCCTTTCGGGACTCTTCGTTCCATTCAACATTTACACTCAGATGGAAACTACTATAGTATATAGGGTTCTGTAGGGGGTTATGTAGGGATAACGGGAAAAGAAAATGGGAGCTACTATATCATAGTAGGGTATATATTGGGGTTATGTAGAGAAAAGAAAATGGAAACTACTACATTTAATAGGGTATATATTGGGGTTATGTAGGGATAATGGAAAAGAACATGGAAACTACTACGTTATAATGGGGTATATCTTGGGGCTATGTAGGGATCATGGAAAAGAACATGGAAACCACTACGTTATAATAGGATATATCTTGGGGCTATGTAGGGATCATGGAAAAGAACATGGAAACTACTACACTTAATACGGTATATACTGGGTTATGTAGGGATAATGGAAAGGAAGCTATATTAAGCAAACATCTGAATGCTGCGCAGCACAGCCTGCCATAGGAATCGGAGATGCTTGCGGCGGAGGCGCGCCCATAGTAGTTTCCTTTTTATTGTCGACTATCCCTATATAACCTCCATATAACCCCAATATAACCCTAATATAACCCCAATATAACCCAATATAACCCAATATAGAACCCAATATACTATAGTAGTTTCCTTCCATTTCTTGACAGAGTTTGAAGTCTTTCGGAGTCTTTAATGTGATGTCCGCGCCACCCTAAACCCTAAAGCCTAATCCCTAAACCCTGAGGCAAACAGCCAGCAGCTCCTTGATCAGAAGCTGGAGAGTGCCAAGCTCGAGTGCCCTCCTCAGCCTGTTTGGGCAGGTAGGGGTTATATTGGGATAATGGAGAAGAAGATGGAAACTAGTATAGTACATAGGGTTATGTAGGGGGTTATATAGGGACAGAGGAAAAGAAAATGGAAACCGCTATATGAAGCACCCTCTAGGAGCCCATATGACATGCTCAAAGACCTTCCTTTGCTTGCAGATCGCGGTTGTCCACAGCCTCAGAGCGGGAGGACGTGAATCCACCATCGCCAGAAAGGGAAGCGCATGAATTGAGGAATTTTTTGGTGTGCTGAATCAAGACGAACCTGCAAATGTTGAAAGATGTTGACGGCTATGTCGGCATCACCTTTTGTCCTCATTTGGGTGGTTGTCAAATTATGATCCCTGTTTGGGTACCCTAAATATTGGGTGCCGTATTATAGTAGGCATCCAAAAAGGGACCATAATTTTGACAACCACCCCTAAACCCTAAACCCTAAACCCTAAAACTCAATTGAAAGACCAAGCTCACACGAGGAGGAGCTTCGCTTAGAGGTGTCCCGGCTGGCAGTGGGGTCCCCGGTAGCCGGCTGGGCTTTGTCCTGTTGGCAGTGCAGAAGCGGAAGATGTGTATACTAGAATAGATTATGTAATGCTATAGTATGCTATAGTATACTACTATATTATACTGAAATGTTCTTTATTATTCTATAATGTTATATATCATTCTGTATTATTCTATAGTCTGAATTTCTCACTGATTGGCATTCCTGCGCCAGGATCTGCTGACTGCCGCAGAGGCCCAGGTCTTGGAAAAGTCCGATGCTATGGAGCGCGCTGAGGCGCCGCATGTGGGTTTTGGGTTCAAGGCTTAGGTTTTAGGGTTTAGGATCTAGGATTTGGGCTTTCTGGTTTTGAAGTAGTGCCTTGCATGAAGGCAATGTGCAATCAGACTGATTTTTGGAGAATCTGTTGGGGGAATCTGGTTGGTACCGAATTCCAGTCTGCTGATAGCACCATTCTTGATAACAATGCTGGCAAGACGCCATGAAACTATCAGTTGGCAATGCTCCAGGAGCGCCTGGCTACAAAGACCGCTGAGGCGATTTCCTTGGTTTTGTCTGGAAACAACATAAAATTGCCTGAACGGAAGGTCAAGATCTTGATGATAAGGGTAACATGTAAATAGACGGCAAGACAGGGCACAGGCAAGAAAGCAAATTCCCTCCAGGATCATAGGATCATCAAGATGGGAGAGTCAGTATACGTCTGCCATGATCAGTTGAAGGTTCTCGTCAATTCGCAATTTTCATTCAACGTCCATGAATGTCCTGCGCCCCTTCTCATTGTTCAGATCTTTGAGAGTAGTCCCTTGCTGCTCGACCGGATACTTGTGTCGCTGGTTAGTGACTTTGAACTTCAGCCCCAGGAAAAGCATTCGCCACAATACAAGAATCTGGGTGGCTGCTGAGGATTGATCCCCTTGAACCTTAGATAAGCCCTATATACCACATATAACCTCTAGATTACCAATAGAAGGCCTACCTTTGTACCATATAGATACTAAACCATAAACCCTAAACCCTGCTGGGCTGGGTTGCCTCTCGGCTTGATGTTGCACTGAAGGGGTTTACAGCTGAGGGAGGCTTCTTCAATCATGTCCAACTGGACCTTGCCATCATAAAGTTTCTAGAAAAAACAAACCCTGAACCCTAAACCTCCAGGGGACCATCTTAGGCGGAAGCCTTCGAAACAGCAGAGCTATGGCAGCAAAAGCAGGCGCAGTTCAGCAGTCTGTTGATCTGCTCCTTCTCAGGGTGCAGGGTTTCGGGCTTAGGGTAACCCCAATATATACCCTATTATGACGTAGTAGTTTCCATTTTCTTTTCTATTATCCTTCATAACCCCAATATATATATGTTATAGTTTCCATTTTCTTTTCCATTATCCCTATATAAAGCCCAATATATACCCTATTATAATGTAGTAGTTTCCATTTTCTTTCCCATTATCCCTACATAAGTGTGCCTGTGGTTTGGTGGTCTGCAGGAGGCTGCAGTGGCTGGAAGACTCGCCAGACTAGTTCAGCAGGCCACGGATCAGGAGGAGGCAAGATCGGACTGCTGTTGTGGACGAAGGGGGCGGGTTTAGGGTTTAGGGTGTAGGGTTTAGGGTTTAGGGTTCAGGGTTTACGGTTGCGCTACAAGGGTGTGAGAGGCTTTTGCGAGACGTTGTAAGCTGTTCAGCTGCAGGAGATTGCGTCGCTCCAGATATCTCTGCAGGCGGAGCGCGCAGCATTGGCTGTGCTGCGCCGCCGCGGCCCGAGGCGGTAAACCACCAGCCCTGACTCATGAATCAAGGTTCACCCACGGCACCCGATGCGTTTCCCTTGAAGAAAAAGGCAACTCTTATAGTATAATAGGGTTATCTAGGGGTAATATAGGGTTTATAGAGGTTATTTTGGGATAATGGAAAAGAAAATGAAAACTAGTATAGTATTGGCGCGTCAGTCTTCTTACCTTGGCTTCCTACATCTTTTTTTTCTTTGGCACAAGCGATGGGCTTATTGGAGAGATGATGGTAGGTCACGATTTTGGGCTAGGGCCTGGTCACGATCCCCTGCTACAAGGAACAGACCCGGGTCCAGTGTAAGGTTGCAAGCAGCGCAAAAGAGTCTGCCTACCGGTGAATCCAACTCCCGAATACGTAGCAAGGTCAACAGCATCTCACCGACTGTTCAGAAGATACTTTGTTCCTTTCTTGGCTACTCACAGTGCTGTGCAACTGGAACGACTGGGTTGCTGCTAAGGAACTTAGTTTAAGTTGCTATATTGGGGAAATTGTATTATTCACTATATATACCCATTATGGTAACTTAATCTAAGTCTCTTGACAGCAACCCAGACGAGCACTTGCTGAGGGAGTGAGCTTCAGATCTCCGACGCCGTGGTGGAAAGCAAGAGCCTCCCCGTGCGACTTGCTCGGGCGGATGTGGACGAGGCGCAGCTTGATGTTTTCTGGGACCAGAGGGTCATATAATAAGCTATAATCTACTATGCTATATTATACTATACCATACTATACTACACTTTCATATACTATACTAGAATATAGTATAATATTCTATAGTTATTTAAGGGCTATATATGGATCATCGACAAGAAAATGGAAACTACTGCAATGGTGTTCCCTAGGGTTAGGGTTTTTGGTTTAGGCTTTAGGCTTGGGGTTCTATTGGGATAATGGAGAAGAAAATGGAAACTACTGTAGTATATTGGGGTTATTAATTGGGATAACGGAAAAGAACAATCAAACTACTATATTACAAGTGACCCAAAACCCTAAACCCTAAACCCTAAACCCCTAAACCGTAAACCCCTAAACCCTAAACCCTAAACCTATATTACAATAGTATTTGGGTGGGGGCGTTGCTCCAACAACAGCAGATCGGACTCCATGAGGCCAAGCATCGGTGGCGGCTGGAACACAGCTTTTCAGTGTCGGCCATCCAGAAATCTGGCCCGGGGGCCCTGGCATGAACAGTTTCAGCACGTGCCACGCAGTTGCGCTTATTGCCTGTGCCTCGCAGGCTTGCATATGGGTGGTTGTCCAAATTATGGTCCCTTTTTGGGTACCCTCAATATTAGGTGCCGTATTATTATAGGGATCCAAAAAAGGGACCATAATTTTGACCACCCATATGCTTGCATGATAAAAGCTTGTTGAAGCATTGGTCGTTGCACATGATGGCTTCTCATCAAACCTTCGATTTCCGACTGAGGCACCCTGCCAGAAACGCTCCCGGCTTCTGGGAGGTCAATGTCAACACGGTTCCTAACCCGGAGCCAGTGAGAGGCCATCACTTGATCGAAGGGCTTGGCTGTCAATATTGGGAAACAAGCTTTTCACGCGTCCATGAACTTCTCCTGCTAGATGGCAGTCTGTCCCTATAGTCGTAGCAGGCCTGTTGTCTTCGACGGTCTGAAGATAGAGATATGCGGCTGCCTTGCTTTATCAATCATGTTCTAGCTTGAGTTCGTTCTCGTGGGGCGTGCTTATCCCGAGCTGTCCTGCAACGCAAAGGTAGCCCTGAGGAATCACAGGCACACTATGGCCAGACTCTGCGAGGGCGGTTGGATTCCAAAGCGGTCCAGCACTTCGGCTGCTAATGCCCACAGATTAATGCACGCAAGTCGCGATTGTAGCAACATTTTCTCTGTACTGCACCATTGCCACACTTTGGGTGTTTGCCCTGTGAACAAATACAACACTGCTGTTGCACATGAGCGACTGTGGCGTGAGTTGGTCATACCCTAAACCCTAAAACCCTAAACCCCTAAAGCCCTAAACCCCTAAACCCTAAACCCTAACCCCCTAAAGCCCTAAAGCCCTAAACCCCTAAACCCTACCCCCCCTCTCTCCCCCCCGTCCCGGACAGTACAGCTGTCCCCCGTCGCCTCGCGCACAACACAGCTCCAAGCTGCTTTTGCAAGGTCCAAAGCAGGCCTTGGGAGTTTCCGTAAATAAGGGACCCCAATATGAAAACCAAAAAGGTTTAGGGCTTAGGGTTTAGGGTGATTATTACCCAAAAGGTTTAGGGTTTAGGGTGGATTATTTTAGGAACCCCCAAAAGGATACCCCCTAATTTTGGGAAACCCCCCATCTAGAGCTTCATGGCTAGCAGCTTAGGAGGATGGTTGTACAGAGGAAGCGACATGGAAAGCTCTGATAATGGAAAAGAACATGGAAACTACTATAGTATATTGGGACTATATTGGGATAATGGAAAATAAAATGGAAGCTACTATAGTATAATAGGGTTTGTTTAGGGGGAGGATGCAACATGGAAAGCTCTGTTGGGCATGCTGCTTCTCACTGCATCCTGCGATTCGACCATCTTGGCGATCGTGCTCGGCTCATTGCACTCTCCAAGCCATACAATGACAAGAAACCCGTCAACGCTTGGGCTGTGATGCTAGAGAGTTGCGCAGATCTTCAGATATGGATGTTGTGCGTACAAACTGTCAAGAAACCTCCAGAATATGCTGCTCAACCAGACACCAGCTTGCACTGTGAGCCATCGAGCATTCTTCAAGCGCCATACAACTGGGTTGCTGTTAAGGAACTTAAATTAGGTTACCACAATGGGTATATATAGTAAATAATAGGGTTTCTCCAATATAGTAACTTAAATTAAGTTCCTTAACAGCAACCCAGACAAGCCTCTCACGCCTCGGACGCCCTGGACTTAGGGTCAGCTGCTCTTTGGGCCATGGCTTTCCTGCCAGCGGCGCAGCCCCTCTTGCGTGGTATAGGCACAGGTCTTTGGAAATGATGCGAGCAGTTGCACGCAAGGACTGTTCGATATTAGGCCGTTCGGGGCTCCAATTTTCCATTTCCCCATTTAAGACCGGTCCCAATACAAATTCTCCCGTCCCCTCTTTTGGGAGAAGTGGTTTAGGCAAGCTCGCACAGCCTCTGCATAGTCCACCCTGTAATAGTGGTATAGTAGAAATGTAGAGGTCCACCTAAGGCATATACCCCTAAACCCTAAACCCTAAACACTAAACCCTAAATCCTAAACCCTAAACCCTAAAGCCAGAGCTCTGAAATCACTGCTTCCCTGGCAGCTCCCGCGGCCAGCAGCAGCAACGGTGGCTTGAGGTCGGGCCTTGCCTTTTTAGACCATCTGAGCTATAGTCTAAACTCTTTAAAGGGGGTTATATAGGGGATTATATAGGATTTAGGGTTTAGGATTTAGGGTTTAGGGTTTAAGCTCCTTAAAGGGGGTTATATAATATAGGGGCAATGATAGGGCTTTTTAAGGGGGATGCTAGGAGTTTAGATTATAGCTCATCTGATGTGGGCAGCAGGTCCCGCATGTGAATTGCATTAAAAGTGGACAGGTATTCTGCGCAAGATCCATTGTCAGGTTCTTATGATTCATATACTGTACATAGTCACAGGGTGGGACTTGGTTGTGCAGGTAACTGTCAACTCCAGACGGTCCTATCCGTGGCGTTTCAAGAATCGATAGCGGTTTGGTCAATGCCGCCATGTGCACCATGGCGAAGTTTGTCCCAAGCTGAAAGCTCTGATAATGGACAAGGAAATGGAAACTACTATAGCATTGGATGTTATATAGGGATAATGGAAAAGAACATGGAAACTATTCCGCAAACCCAAAACCCTAAACCTAAACCCAAAACCCTAAACCCGAAACCCAAAACCCAAAACCCTAAACCAAAAACCCAGAACCCCAAACCCTAAACCCTAAACCCTAAACCAAAAAACCCAGAACCCCAAACCCTAAACCCAACACCCAAACCCTAAACCCAAAACTCTACTTTGTGAAGCTGAGCTTGTCAGGCTCCAAAGCCGGTGGCACCCTTTTAGTCACCGAGGTCCTGCGCTGAGGGGGTCGTCACAAAGTAGTAGGGTTTAGGGTTTAGGGTTTAGGATTTAGGGTGTAGGGTTTAGGGTCTAAGGTTTAGGGTTTAGGGTTTTGGGTTTAGGGAGTAGTTTCCATTTTGTTTTTCCTATACTAGAGTGGTTTCCATTTCATTTTCCATTATCCCAACATAACCCCTATAGACTAGAGTGGTTTCCATTTCGTTTTCCATTATCCCTATATAACCATCAATACTATAGCATCAATCACCATGAACATGGCAGCGACTGAGCGCTGATTTCCCACTGCAACAGCCAGCAGCCTTCTTGTCTCTACTGCAGAAAGGGCATCCAGGCACATTGCATTTTTTGTTGTCCAGTGCTGTTTGATTCGCCTGTGCAGGCTCAAGAACCACCAATTATGGGCTGCAGGCCTGATCTGGACTTCGCATGCTCATTCATGTTTTGGCGCTCTGATGCGGATACCGCCGCAACTGTTTGCCTATCCAGTTGCGAATGCGCCACGCTGCATGGACTGTGCCTAAATGGAGGAAGCCCCTGTTTTTGCGAGGCTGTCTCGATTTGCATGGCCCTGGCTCGCCAGAGGCAGTTCCCAAGACCTGAGCCAAGCTTTTAAACTCCCAACCCCTGAGACGGAAGTCTTCTCAAATACAATCCGCATGTCCTGAAGAGCTGAACTTGAAAGCAAGCTTCTTACAGCCACAACTCCCTGAAACTGTAAAATCATGACACCTTAATCCCAAAGGCCTAAGTCCTAAGTCTAATTTCCCCCAACCCTCACACCCTTCACAGCTCTAACCCCATGAGCGAAACTTTTCCCCTAAAATCCTTGAACCCCAATCCCTAAGCTTACTAGCGCAAGTTTCGGTTGACCTCCCCAAAGAACCATTCCAACTTACACGTGTTTTGCTTTTTGACAAGAGTTGCAGTCTTTTTTGCGAAGTGTTGCCGATTTTTGCTTAAGTCTTGCCGTGAACAGCGGGGGGGGCGGAACTTGAAGCTGCGGCGCATTGGCTGCTATGCTTGGAGTTTGTAAGCTACGGGGTTGTGAGGGGTGCTCTTGCTGGAAAATGGCAACGGAAAAGAACATGGAACTGCTATAGTATATGGGGTTATATAGGGATAATGGAAAAGAAAATGTCAACTATCATAATATAATGGGGTATATATTTTTCTTGAGCTTCTGCTGCGATCTATGATGCCAACTGTTAGTTGCTGACCCTTTGGCACCGGCTTGGCAACAAGGCCAAGTTAAGTTAGCCTCCGGGGTCGTGCAAAATGGAACATAAATTGGGCACTACTATATTGGGGTTGAGGGTTTAGGGTTTATGGTTTAGGGTTGGGGTTATATTGGGAGAATGGGAAATAAAATGGAAACTATTACAATGGAGTTTTATAGGGCTTAGGGTTGGGGTTATATTGGGATAATGGAAAATGAAATGGAAGCTACTATAGTATAGTGTGTTGGGGTTCTAATGGGGATGATGGAAAAGAAAATGGAAACCACTATACTATAATAGGGTACATATGGTGCAAGAGGAAAACCTCGCATTCACCTTAGCTACACAATGTAGATTCTTTTGCGCCGACCAATACTATCAACCTATACAAATTGCAGCAAGGCTTGAATACTGTACCTAAACTGTCAAGCGCATACTCTAGGGTCCCACTATCCCCATATAACCCCCATATATAGTAGTTTCCATTTTTCCATTATCCCTATACAGCCCCTATATACTATAGGGGTCAGAAGCGTTCTCAGCCTCCAGACCTTCAAACCTAGCTGCCAGATTCCCAACGAGCTGAAGCCTCACAGTTGGTAGTCATAGTGGCTTCCATTTTCTTTTCCATTATCCCCATAATAACCCCAACATAATATACTATAGTAGCCTCCATTTGTTTCCATTACCCCAATATAGCCCCAACCCTAAACAAGTCTGGTGGGAAGGTAGGAAACTGGGACTTCCCAAAATTAGAGTGCACAGTGTTTTGTCGAAGCACATTTTCAGGCAACTTTGCCGAAGAACCCACTGCTTGGCAAGGCGCGCGCTTGCAGGCGCCGGGGTGCAAAATGAATATCGTAGAATTGGACTTAACTTGAGGCCGCTGTGAGGACAGCCTGATGTGAGCCTGAAGAGAAGCACCCATGATTGTGCTGCGGCTCTTGCTTCATCTTTTCTTTAATCTATAATACCCTATTATAATATAGTGGTTTCCATTTTCTTTTCCATTATCCCCATTATAACCCCATGACCCCAATATAATATACTATAGTAGCTTCCATTTTATTTTCCACTATCCCAACATGGTTAGCATTCGCCTTGGATCTTTGCAAACCTCTCAGTGCTGGTCTGAGTTTGTTGGCAGCTGCAGGCAGGAGGGCAGTTGCGCGTATTGCGCATTAGATCGGAGTTTCCTTAAATTAGGGGTACCAATTTGGGGGTCCCCATAGTAAGGCATAGAGCATTTTGGGGTCTATATTGGGGTCCCCTATGTTAGGAAGCTACCACATGTCTGCGTAGATGTCCTGCGTACGTTCTCTGACTGTGAATGTTTACCAGCCAGTGCTGCCTGCGTGGACTTCGGCACTTTTGCCCTAGCCTTGGCTAGGCCGAGCAGAGGCGTCTGCCCTCAGGCCAGGCAGAGAGGACTTCTAAAGGAGGGATGGGAGGCTGAATCCACCCCAAACCCTAAACCCAGTAAACAAGGGCATGTTGATAGAAGTTCTGCTCTCCACCTTCTGTCATACTGCGATGTCTCCTAACAGTTTGGGTGCGGAATAAGCCGCTCGGGGACCCTTGTTCCCCATCCCAATCCGTAGGGGGCTACTATAGTGTATTCTATTGGGAGTTATAATGGGGATAACGGAAAAGAACATGGAAACCACTAGATAATAATAGGGTATGTTTTCCTTTTTTAGTTTTCTTTTCACACTCTCTCTCTCTCTCTCTCTCTCTCTCTGCTTTTGTTCAGTCTTTTGGGCTGGAGGATCAAGGGAGAAAAGAAGAAGGAAAGACATGACGAAAAAACGATCGAACCACAAAAAGACAGAAATAATCAAAGATATAGCGAAACGAATAAATGGAGGAAAGAACGACAAGAAACAAAGATAGACACAACAAAAGAGGAAGCAACGACAGAACAACTGCTATGAAGAAGGGCATGAAGAACGAAAGAAAGACAAGAATCAAGAAAGAAAAGTAGCAAATTTGAGTGGGTGTGGGGTCCTAGCATGAGACGGTACACCCTTCCTGCCCCAAACTAATATGGACTCCCATATAAAACTCCTTAACAACGACAGTGGTCTTTATACAGTTCTATGCCATGCTAGTTTCGGGGCAGGGCGCGGTGTGTTTTGCTAAGAATCCACACTCGACAGTCCTTACTGCAAGATTTTGGACATTACTTTCCCCCAAGGTACGACGGAATCCCATGCAAGCTTCTTTTAAAATACGGTGGTCTTCTTACAGTTCTGTTCGAGTTCCAGATTAATTTGAGGTAAGGGGTGCGTTAGTAGTACACACCGACACATGGTCCATCATGTAATCTCGTCTCTTATTGGAAAGCACCATTTGAAGCTTTGATATTCCATCCAGCTGTGGCCCCCAACCCCCCCTACCTTGCCTTTTCTATGGCTGCAAGTCTGTATCTTACAACACGTCTTCTTACAAACATGTCATTTGATAATTCTGTTTGCACATGGGGGGGGGCCTGCGCCGAGCCGCTTTTTCCAAAAGGCTCGCGCACTCAGCCTGACATATGATCATTATGTTTGCAAATGGGGCACCACCGGCCCCCGCCCCCAACCTCCCCAATTTTCATCATCAAACACATGGCTGCGCGTTACGTTTGTAGCGTGAAAAATCCGTCGTCTGAGCAGCATGTCATGTGATCATTCAGTGCGCATGTAGGGGGGCCTTCCCCCCCCCTCACTTTTTTCAAAGGCTGGCGTGATGGGAATGACATTTTGTCATTTCGTTTGCCATGGGGGGCTGAGAGCGTGCATTTGATCATTCTCTTCGCAGAATGGGTGCTGCGCATTTCACAACCAATGGCGGCACAATGAACTAGAGAAAACAAGAAACCAAAGAAAAAGAACAACCATGGATGGTCCATCCGTAGACTATGCATCAATTCGGGCTTTTGGGGAACCGCCGCCAGTTGCAAGCAGAATGTGGGGCCTGTCTGGGGCCGAAAAGACTGGAGGATGCACAACGCTGTATGTTGTGAGCAGATTCAAACTCGTCTTTACATGCAGGCATCAGGCAATGTGAAGCCATGTGCCGTTTCCTTTCGCCTGGCAGTTTATCCGACGCACAGCTCCAGCGGCTCCTGACGCCAGCGCACGGCGCCAAGTGAACATGAGCAACAACAAATTTTCAATAGCCAATTTAGACGAAGCTGTCACATGTAAACAGACCAAGCTGAAGTAAACAGAGATTGCCGAATCCAAGCTGTTGACATGAAGCGGTTTCAAAGAGCATGTCGATTGTGCGAGGGCAGCCTGATTTGGGTGTTGCCTAACCCTAAACCCTACATGACCCTTTTTTAGTAGTTTCCATTTTCTTTTCCACTATCCCAATATAACTAGAATATCCCTAAACCCTAAACCCTAAATAGTAGTTTCCATTTTCTTTTCCACTATCCCAGTATAACTAGAATATCCCTAAACCCTTGGCCCTTTTTTGTAGTTTCCATTTTCTTTTCCACTATCCCAATCCGGCCTTCGCCGTGAAGCTTGCGAGATCAGGATTGCTGCTTCGCTGTTGAGCTTCTTGCTCTATCCCTTTCTTGCCCAAGCCGCATGCACCTCAGTTCCAAGCATATGGGTGGTTGTCAAAATTAGGGTCCCTTTTTGGGTACCCTAAATATTAGGTGCCGTATTATACTAGGGACTCAAAAAGGGACCATAATTTTGACAAACACCCATATGTCTTCAGGCTCATAGGGTTTTCTTATGCTTACATGTAGTTTCGTAACACAGTGCAACCCTTCCAAGGTGGCGTCTCAACTAGACGCCGTAGCACTCAGCGTCATCAAGGGCGATGCTGGGTCCTTACAGTCGTCCGGAGTCTGGAGTCCTGTTCGACTTGCAAATCTGCCACCGAGGTTTCACAGTACATGCAGAACTTCTTCAACTTCAATAGTTTGCTTTTTTCGTTCTTCGTCTCGCAGACGTATGCCTCCCTGTACCAGCAGCAGGACTCAACTGTGAATTTTGATTGTCAAAACATGCTTTATCATGGCCAGTGGCGAGGTCCGGGGTCCATGCTTCAGCCACTATTCGTGAAGCCCATGCACGAGAGCGTCCTACATGACTAATGCCGAATTTGAATCCTTGTCAGGAGAGCTTATACATGGCCCTCTACTCGGAGATTTCCGAGGTTGGCTGGTCAAGACATTGGGGTTGCTTCATGTCCGACTTGTAAATTCAAGACCCGAAGTCACAAGTCACCCTGGGGCGCCCTGTGCCTGATCCAGAGATGAGACAGTGGGCTTTGTTGATTGGACTGCCATTTGGCATGTGCACAGAGCAGCAAGCAGGACTTCGTTGTCCCGCCCCACAGCTTGTCTTGTGGTGTGCGGCAGTGTGTCTTTGTCTTCCTGCACAAGTATACAAGTGAGCAGCTGCTAGAACCACAAGCTGTTGGTTTCACACAGCTTGTAGGGCCCGTGTGAGAGCTGCAAGAGCAGGCCTCATGATTTATCCCCTCTGGCAGCAGGTGTCATGCCGCCACATAGGATGTCCGGTCATGCAGTACATGCAAAAGGCAGTATCATGTGTCTGTAGGCTTTGATGCAAGCGCTGCACACAGGGTTCCCGATCCAGGGCTGAGATAGTGGGCTTTGTTGATTGGACCGCCATTTGGCATGTGCACAGAGCAGCAAGCAGGACTTTGTTGTCCCGCCCCACAGCTTGTCCTGTGGTGTGCGGCAGTGTGTCTTTGNNGCCCGTGTGAGAGCTGCAAGAGCAGACCTGGCTTTTTTATCGCGTCTGATGTTCAAGTGTTGGCTCATGTGCTCGTACATTGCGTGTCTATTGCCAGGCAAGATCTCTGTTGGAGCAGCTTACGTTGGTTTCCCAAAACAGGCGAGGCATGGACATTTCTGCTCCTGAAGTTGTGGATCATACGTCGTATTCTCCGTGTGATGGGTGTGCAGGCCGAGCTACCGATCGATGCTGCAGAGCATGCTGCGGCCTCTGCGTTAAGGGGCCAGGCTTAACCAGAGGGCTTATGCAATGTTATTTTCAAGGTTATGCCTGGATTTTGCCAAACCTCACTCTTCAAACCTCCAGCCCCAGAGCTTCTGAGTGTTCATCTTCTATGGCATGTTGGATGTCAGACTGAAGCTCGTGTGCACCCAGGGATTCCTATGTGGAGGCCGGCAGCAAAGTGACAACGAAGATCACATCTGTTGCCTTGCTTCAAACCAGATGCAGTCAAGTCGCTGGTCCTGCCAAGTTCCTGAGTTGCTGTTAAGGAACTT